TCTACAGCCATTGTATGGTACAAAGGTTCAGTCAGACGATGGTTGTGGTGATCTACAGCCATTGTATGGTACAAAGGTTCAGTCAGACGATGGTTGTGGTGATCTACAGCCATTGTATGGTACAAAGGTTCAGTCAGACGATGGTTGTGGTGAAACATCATCTAGTGATCAGACTTGTGACATTAGTGACTCACAGAGTTTGTCAGAATCAATTTTTGAACCACTCACAGCCATCCATAACACCCATGAAGAGAGCACTTTTAACAAGGCCAGTAATACTTGTAATGAACAGACTAAAAAGGTTCTCAAAGGCACAAGCAATGAGAATGTTGTAGTGAATGAAGAAGATGAATCAAGTGGTCATACTAAGAGGGGGAGGGAGAGGAGTGATAAAGGGACTTGTGTGGAGAAGACAGAATGTGTCCCTAGTAGTCTAGACTCACTCACACCAAGTCCAAATGAAACTGTTCTCAAAGGYCTGTATAGTATGGAAATAAACACTAGTCAACCAGCACAAATCACAGATTGTAGCCATCCCTACCAGCCCTCTCCTCCAAAAACAAGCACAGATAAGACTCCAAACATTGATAATGACGGTGATATGAACAACGTGAACACAGTTCTTGCTGAAAGYAGCAGCACTAACGATTCTTTTGATCAGCCTTGTATCAATASTAGTTGTCATGGAGATGATGCAGATTGCCATGGTGATAATATAGATTGTCACAGAAATGATGGTTATCTTGAAGAACAAAGAAGCTGTCATGGAGATAATTTTGCTTGTCATGGAAATGCTGATGRAGCAAGTTATAAACAAAATAATAGTCTAACCAGGAGTTCTAATGATGGCATTCCAATGATCACTGATGATTTGAGTGGGGATGTTGTACGTAATTCCTGCACTGAAGGAAGTCAACAACCATCATGTACAGTGATTGATATAAATGTATCAACAGAATGTACTGTGGATGCTACAACATGCCATAGTAACTCGTTTCCATGGTTTCCAAACACTGAAGAGCCAAGTAACCATCATGGTGATTCATTTCCACTTTGTTCCAACACAGACAAGCTTGATGTCAATCATTAYCCTCTAACTGTCGGCACCACACCAACTGACAAAGCAACGTGTAAAGATAATACAATTTCCAGTGATAAGGATTTAATAGTGGAATGTACAGGTAATAATGATGATAAATGTATGGTACTTGGATCTGAACCTCTCAAGCCAACCAATGATACAGACATTGATAATGATACAGACAGCCTACCGTACTGTAAACCATGTCATTCTGAAGCTAGTGAACCATCCATTGCTGACACAGCCACTCCTAGTGGTAAAGCACAAGCTCCTGAGGGTACAACTGTTGCTATGGACACCATGACACCAATACTCATGCAAGCTTGTCTACAGGTATGAATGACATATATTGAGTATGCTGATTGGTTGAGATCTATGACATATTGAGTATGCTGATTGGTTGAGATCTATGATTTATTTATTTTCCAATACGGCCGCCCCTCAACAGAGGATTATTGGCCGGGAGGTCAGGAAATTACATGTWCTCTGTGATCTTTTTTTTAAAAACTTCAATGCTGGAGGCTGGCGAAAAAGCATTTTCAGGCAGTGAGTTCCAAAATTTTACAGTTCTTGGAAAAAAGGATAGGTTTTCAGATTTATTTTTGTACATAATAGTTTTAAGGGTATGGGCTTTCGTATGACGGCTAACTCGGTCCGGCTTTGCCAGGAGCTCTTTAGCATTTACTGCAACATGGTTGTTGATGATTTTGTACAGCAGGGTGACACGTGAGAGTTCTCTTCTCTTCTCAAGAGTGTCCCATTTGAGTGTAGCTAGCATCTCAGAAACACTGTCTTGAGGGTGGTATCGAGAGAGGACCCACCGGGCTGCACGTCTTTGGACCATCTCCACCTTATATGCGCCATTGTTTTCGATTCCCTTGCGCGGATCCCATATGCTAGAGCAGTACTCCATTTTGGGCCTCAGGATAGCTTTATATGCTTTCTCCTTTAGAACTGGTGAACGGACCTTGAGGTTTCTTTTCAGGAATCCGAGAGTCCTGTTTCCTTTTGCTGTTAAGTTGTCGATGTGCACATTCCACTTGAGATCTTTTGTCAGATGAACACCCAGATACTTAGAGCTAGTGACTGTCTTTAGAACTGTACCGTGGAGGGTGTACTGGTGTTTTATGTCATTTCTTTTCCGACTAACCCTCAGAACTTCACACTTT